ATGTATATACATATATATAAAACACAGATAGATATAGAGAGACGGAAGTAGCGGAAAAATGGGGACAAGTGTCTACGGACAAGTCGTTAATTACAGTGTCGCAGCCATAGCTTAATGTATCTGCAGGTACCCTCTGTTTTTTTTTTTTTTTTTTTTTAACAATATACTAAGAAAAAACCAACAAACATCGAAACAATAGAATCTGTGTGATCCCTTTTTTTCTTTCTTTCTTTGCTTTACTCACACGAAATTTCCCTCCCCTATTGTGCTATCGCCGCGCCACTGCGTGCACGTGCGATGGTGCTTCGGGACATATGTGTGTGTGTGTGTATGTATGTATGTGTGTGTGAAAATGCGTGTGTGTAGGTGTGTGTGCGCTTACAAAAAAAAGATGTACCTGATGAAGAGAGAAAGTCTTCTTCTTTGTCTTCAGTCGATTCAAGTTAATATCGACCAATTAAACAAAATGCAATTCGCAAAAATGCAGCGCCCGTATTACGGCAAAGCGTCGAGTGCTCGGTCATTTGCGTTAGGTAATCGCGACAGAATCATCTTTTCCGATAAAAGAACCGTTCTAATAAGAACCAAAATTTCAGATGCACGAATTGCAATAATATTCGCATCTTTCGTAAACTAAAAGCTACGGGCGTGTTCCGCGATAGAAGCTGGTTTTTTTTTCTTGTAATAAATGTAATAAAATACGTCTCTGAAGCCTATCCTCTTCCAATTAAGTAATTAGAAAAACATTGGTGTGTAAGTGCGTGTGTGTGTTGTTACTTTCTTCGAGTTCTCCGCGTTGTATTAACCGAGTTACGTAGTGAAATAATGCAGTTTGCCGACGTAATATTCATCAGTGCGTATAACAAAGCTAAAATTAAAATGATATTAAAACTGACGCGCAACACACAGAGAAGAAACACAGAGGCTGGCTGGGATTATAATTGATCGAAAAATGACAAACACGAAAAAAATAAAAAAAGACAAACGATATTTCAACGAGCAAATGTTTGACAAACCATGATAACGCTAATACCAAATCGTTTTGTGAAATCAAATCGAACGTG